GTCCACGCGCGTCATCCAAGCCGATTTCACCAAGGGCTTGGAGATCTACGATGACATCGAGGCAGGACTGCAGGGCCTGGAGATCGGAGTCCTGGGTGAGTTGCTAGCTTGCTGCACCGAGTCCCCACCCTGTCCCCCACCCGGCGTCCCTGGCCCTGTGAGAGACGTCGTGCGACCTCTTGTGCAGTGAACAATGTGGGCATGGCATACGGCGGAGGCGGCGTGAACTTTCAGAAGGTGCTGGACTCGGAGAATGTGGGCCAGGTGAGTCCCGGGCGCTCGCGGTGCTCTACTGCCCTCTGTTGGGCAGGCCGCAGAATACACCAGCGTCCGGAGCGCAAGGTTCCTCTTTGCCTTTGTCTGGAAAAGTTTAAAACAGAGCTACAAGTCTCCCTGTTTTTGAATGACACACCCTTTTGCAGTGCCCAACCTGCACAACTATTCGGGTTGAGCCTGGTTCTCACCTTTTATATTGCCTGTCCTAACTGTAAAGAATTACCCACGTGGGAGAACCAGCACTGCCCTCTAGAGAATGTGGATTCTCTAAATTTTTGTTAGTAGAGAGAGAGAGAGAGAGAGAGAGAGAGAGACAGAGAGAGAGAAAGTGTGTGTGTGTGTGTGTGTGTGTGTGTGTGTGTGCGCGCGCGTGTATTACTCGGGATTGAACCCAGTGCCTTTGTTCTAAGCTACATCCTCAGCCCTTTGTAAAATTTTGAGATGGGGGTCTCTCGGTCACTAAGTCCTTAGGCTTGTCTTGAACCTGCAGTCCTCCTGCCTCAGCCTTCCAGAAGGCTAAGATTACAGGCATGTTGTCGCCAGAGCTGGCTGCTTTGTAGTAAATTTTGAAATAAGCAATACTGAGTTCTCCAATCTTATTCTTTTCTTTCAAGTTTAGTCTGGCTATTCTGGGTCCTTTTGAGTTTTGCTAGCAACTGAAGTGAATCTGTAGATCAATGGGCGTACAACTGGCATCTTCCAACTCAGAAACGCAGGGTGTCTTGCCATTTATTTTGGTCTTCATTAATATCTCTTAGGAATTTCTTTTCTTTTTTAGCCATGCAAGTCTTTCACCTCCTTGACTTTTTCTTTTTCTTTTTTTTTTTTTTTAACTGTTGTACATGGAGTTGTTTTCTTAGCTCCCTTTCCCGACTGTCTGTGGCTGGTGCGTAGCAGTACTGGTTCTGGCTTTTGTGGTGCTCGGGGTGGAGCCCAGGGCCAAGAGCTCTGCCACTGACTCGTGTAGCTTTTGTCGTTTTGCTATTTTGGGAATTCTTGTATCAGTTCTAAATATTTGTACTTTTTTTGGAGGATTTTCTGCACAGAAGATCGTAGCATCTATGAACAGAGAAAACTGCACTTATTTTCCAGTTTCAGTGCCTTATGAGCATGAGTTCTCGGTCTGGGGCTTCTGATGCCTTCAGTCTGTCACCACTGATTATGAGGCAGGTGGTGGCTTCTCAAACATGAGATCAATTACGTTGAAATCATTTCTTTCTAGTTCTAGTTGCTAAAAGTTTTTGTCATGAAAGGCTGGTAC